GTCGTGTGGTGGCGCTTTGTGTTGGCTGCGTGGATGCTAAATGCATGTGCGTCGACATGCGACCATAATAGATTATCCAATACCTAACCTTAACCTTTTCACCACCAGTTCCCTATTTTCATCACAAATTTACAAAATAGTCCTGTTTATAGTCTGCACTTTGCGTCCAGAAGATTGGAACAAAAATAGCCAAATTGTTTGAGTAAATACTTAAATATTGTCTCTTGGCTCAAAAATTTGGGTTAATTTCCAGAATTATTGAAGTATATAAAGAAAAAAGTTCAGAAAAATTTGGGCGAGAAAGTCTGGTGGTGAAAAAAGTTAATACATAACAATGATTTATTTGTGCTGACCACTACCGGTACTTTCTGGTATTCATGATGACCATTGTATATATATTTTGTATTTTCACTAAAAATATTCTAATGATTTTTTTCTCCAGCATAAAATATTGACATAATGTGACTCCCCATTAATTCCATATTGTCGTGTATTTTTTACTCATAAATGCGTAGCTTTACTATTTATCCTCAATACATTGACTGTTATTTTTAGACTACAACGAGTGTGATAGTTCGCCATGTCTAAATGGCGGTGCTTGTCTGGATCTCCTGAATATGTACACATGTCAATGTCTACCCGGTTGGACAGGTGTTAATTGTGAAATAGGTACTGTTGTATTTTGAGACAATTTCTTGTAACAATACTGATTTAATTAGTTCATCCTATCTGCACAAACATGTATATATTATCCTACACTTACTATTGCAAATTCATGATTGTAATTTTTTGATTTACCTGGTATATTTTTTTGATTTCCTCTACCAATCACATGAATTACTCTTAACAGATATCAATGAATGTGAAAGCAGTCCTTGTATCTATGGCAACTGCATTGATAACATAGATAACTACAGATGCATATGCGACCCTGGGTATACAGGAATCAACTGTAACATTGGTAAAACAATTCCTCCATTACAAAATTGAACATAATATTGACACTTAGTTTTCATTTGTCTCTTGGCTGAAATACAAGTTTTTTATGGATGCATTTTGGACAAGTAGCTTCCCCATGATTCCTTTGTAAACATGTTTCTTGCTTTCCTAGACATTGACGAGTGTGAAAGTTCTCCATGTGTTAATGGCGTCTGTATTGATGGAATTAATTCCTATACCTGTCAATGCAATCTTGGATACACTGGTGTAACCTGTCAAATAGGTGATTTTTCAGATTTTTTTACTATAAATGTCTTATTGTTGTGTAAATAGGCATTCATGCTATTTGTTTCCTTGTCAGTGGTGACTGCTAGTAGTCATTGTAAAATTCTAGAAAAACAGCAAAAAAGTAAATGGTGGTTTTATTGTTTATTAAATGCCTCTTAATAATAGATTATTCTCAACTTGAGCTAAAATTGATTCTTCAGTCAACGGTCACTCTGAAGCTCTTTGACGTACCAGGCTTCTAGAGGGCGTCCTTTGATGACCTCAGGTCAGATTAAAATTGTAATTGAGTCTGGACTATGGATTTCATCAGCGAATTAACCCGTATTTGTCCAACTAAATGAAACTGATATATACAAATCATGGGGTAGTATAGCAACATGGTTTACTTGTTAATTTTCTGCATCTCAGTGAGAAGTCTTAATTTCAAGTTATATTTATGTGCACTACTGTATGCTTATTGTGAATCCCTTTCACAATCCTAAAGTAATGATATTTGGCGTTGAATACCAACCACATACATTTCCCATACCCAGATATTGATGACTGTCTCAACGAGCCATGTGAGAATGGAGCCACATGTGTTGATGGAGTTGGAGAGTTTAGTTGTATATGTATACCTGGTTATGAAGGAAATCTGTGTCATATTGGTAATTGAATAAATTGTCACCAAAACTAAATAACTTTGCATGTTTTGTTTCCCTTACATAGTATCTTCCAAAGTTCTCCATATTAACACCCTACCTTGTCCTGTGGTGGCGCTTTGTGTTGACATGTCACCCATACATGGCCATTTACCATTTTCTTACCATAGTTCGTAGTTCTATAATGTAGAATTATAATAACATTGAAATTGACAGCAATAATTGCACACTGTGCTGTGTTGTTGGTACAATAAAACCAAATTGTGTTTGTATACTCGACTTGGCAATCTTCTGTTTTGCATGTATGTGAACAGCAGGAAACACGGCATATCACTTGCTTTCATTTGTGACAGCAGAATTTTAATGTAAATGTTTAGTTTTGTGAATTATGGATAGAAATAAGTGGCATTTTTTTTTATTTTCACACAGATAATTTCAGTTCACTTGATCATAAAATTGTCATTAATTTTCACAAAATATAAATATTTAAATTACTACCAACAGATATTGACGAGTGTGCAAGCAGTCCTTGTATCTATGGCAACTGTGACAACAATATAAATTCTTACAGCTGTGTCTGTAACCCTGGTTACACAGGAGTAAATTGTGATATTGGTAAAAAGAACAAGTTATTTTGCAAACTAATCCACTTATTAATCAAAACTGTTTTGAGCTAAACATCTCACTATTGAATAATAAGTAACATGATATATAATTTAGTTAGAATTCACTGTGCATCAACTAATAAATATGTTTATTACTACTTACTAAGATAGAAATACACTAATTGTAGAATTCTATAAGATATTGTGTTTGTATAAATGTAGATTTAATACTAATACAGACCATTTACTTGAATACAATGTCAAACATTAAACTTTAATCACCATTACAGTGTGGTATTCCTAGTTGCAAATAAATACCTGCACTTCACCTTAGTATAGGTTTATGAACACTTAGAGAAGATAATTGGTGTTTGATGTTTTTAAATATAAATAGTCTCGCCTTCCTATTTTCACACAAGTGGAACATGCACAAAACCAGAGTTACCAAAGACAATTACAAAATTATTATTATTTTTCTAATGCTCTGATATCATTTGTAAACATCAAAACTATATCATTTACTAAACATAACCTTTTGACAATATGTTAATTGGTTTACTTATGCATTGGTTTGTCCTATGGGAAAGTGACATTAGTTTATTGTAGTACAATTCATAGTTCCACCTAGCACACTCTCTGTCACACATTTCTAATGTTTTAAATATATTAGTAATTTTATTTTAATTAATCCAATAGATATCGATGAGTGTGCAAGCAGTCCTTGTATCTATGGCAACTGTATCAATAATATCAATTCTTACAATTGTGTCTGTAACCCTGGATACACAGGAGTGAATTGTGACATTGGTAAAAAGAGCAAATTATTTTCTAAACTAAACTACTTAATAATGAAAACTGTTTTACTAAACATCTCACCATGGAAAATAAATTTCAAACATTGATGACAAATTTAGTAAGGATTCACTGTTCATCAACTTAAACATATATAGTTAATCTAACACTGATCAGACTCGTGCATAATTGATTGATTAGTGTTTGATATGTGTGCCTTTGAAGTATTCTTTTTGGTTCTTGGCACTGCTGATTTTTATGTTGTCTACTACTGCTGTTTATGTGGTATTGTGACTTGGTTGCACTCAAATATATTGTATTATATTTATTCAAATCACATTGAATTATTTCAACAGATATCGATGAGTGTGCAAGTAGTCCCTGTATCTATGGCAACTGTATCAATAATATCAATTCTTACAATTGTGTCTGTAACCCTGGTTACACAGGGGTGAATTGCGACATTGGTAAAAAGAACAAATTATTTTTTAAACTAATTATTAATTCGGAATGTTTTGTAGATTTAAAAACTATAACTTGAATAATTATAGTAAACTAAATGAAGTGTACATATATACCTAATTAATACCAGTTGAATCATTAACATGTCAAGTGACTCACATTAATTATCCATTCAACACACAAACATCAGTTTAATCCTTTATGCCCATATTAGGTTTAATGTATCTTGCATATATTTAGTTTTACATATAAATGTTTTCTAATATATTGTATTATATTTATTCAAATCACATTGAATTATTTCAACAGATATCGATGAGTGTGCAAGCAGTCCTTGTATCTATGGCAACTGTGTCAATAATATCAATTCTTACAATTGTGTCTGTAACCCTGGTTACACAGGAGTAAATTGCGACATTGGTAAAAAGAACAAATTATTTTGCAAACTAATCCACTTATTAATCAAAACTGTTTTGAGCTAAACATCTCACTATTGAATAATAAGTAACATGATATATAATTTAGTTAGAATTCACTGTGCATCAACTAATAAATATGTTTATTTGATTGATTGGAAA